CCTCCCTTGTCAGATGGCCCACCCGTTTTCCACCAGTTGTTGCCACCTGCCTTCCACAATGGGTGGAGAGCAGGCCAGCATCCAATCCAGCCCCCTCCTGTCTGCACTGCAAACGATTGTACGTTGAGCTTTGGAAGGCAGGAAAGGGGTCGTAACAAATGCTTACCGTATCATTGTTTCTCGTGGTTTGAGGTCGAATTTTGTCGCGATATAGTTGTTCCTCGATGGGAAGCGCATAGCAGGATTCACCGCTTCTAGAGCGGATTCAAACCGTTTCATCGTTGCCTTCAAAACAATGCTTGTGTTTCAACACTTAATTGAAGGCAAATATAAAATTACGCGCGGCTTATATGAAATAACGCGCGGCATAGGCAACTCTCTCACGAAAAACGTTGAGTATGCTGACGCCAGAGTCATCTTACAGGTCTGGTTTTAACTCATTTTTGGCGATTTCTGGGAGTCATCACCAGTAGCACCGTGATCTCCACAGGGAACCTACAGACTGGGTTCTCGTCGTGGTGAATACCAAGAACAGGTGGAGTTGCGGATCCAGAAGGGTCAATGAGTTTAACGAGCCAATGCTTGGATGAACTTGGCTGTGTACAGGCGGAGGAGCACTCTAAGACGGTGCGAATATACGAGATGGTCATCTATAGATGGAGTTCGACATCTCAAGACAGCTACCTTAACCATTCATCAGATCGACAATGGTTTCAGAAGCTCTCATCCTTTTATCAAACGCCATACTTTTGATGTCTGCTTTGAGGGCAACGAGCATAAGGACGTACTTGGATAAAGTGAACAATTCATTTTCAAACATATAGCACGGACGGAACAAAGGCAACAGCTCCCATACATTTCGTGGATCACATTACCTACTCGAAACCCACCTCATCTATATCTACGATTCGCATTTCTATTCCACAGATCGGTTCATGAATATTGCCTTTTTGACCGCTGAACTTCCTGGCACTGACAATGTAGAACATGTTCTTCGGGTACAACATCTTGAAAACTTCCATAATCCGAGCTGAAAGCAATTATACGTAGGCTACCTTTTAGCCACCTTTTATATTTCGGGATTCGGCAACCAACGTGTTGCAATCTGGCAGCTGACAGCTCTATCGTAAAGTTTGACCTTTTTGAGGTTATACGTACTCAGAACATTTTGACATTTGTGTTGTTTACACGAGCTTAAACTATTTTGTGTTGTTTACACTAGCCTAAACTATTTTGGTCGGCCGTTGGTGAGGACAACATGTTTGGTTTTCAACGTGAACAAATTTTTTTGACAGCCAAATGTTCATGCAATATTGAATGTATGCAGGTCCGAGACAACCTTAAGCTTTAAGGGGACCAGCAAACATTCAATATTGCATGAACATTTGACTGTCAAAAAAATTTGTTCGCGTTGAAAACCAAACATATTGTCCTCACCAACGGCCGACCAAAATAGTTTAAGCTAGTGTAAACAACACAAAGAGCGCTCAAATGTCAAAATGTTCTGAGTACGTATAACCTCAAAAGGTCAAACTTTACGATAGAGCTGTCAGCTGCCAGATTGCAACACTGGGGTTGCCGAATCCCGAAATATAAAAGGTAGCCTACGTAGACCACGCTGATTGTGTAGGTGGAGATAGGACTAAAGTCACGCCTTTTTTATTGGGGCACTGCTACTTGCAAATGTAATTAGAAAGAAGGTCTATGTGACGGGATCAGTGCTGGGGTCCGATTCCGCCACAGAGCCAGTGTGGACTGTGCTTTCAGGGTGTTCTTTCAGCATACATCCTAAGTTCGAGTGCATGATTTGCTTGCAAAGTGCTTTCAAAGATGGAAGCTTTCTAATTCATGGAAGTCGTGCAGTACCAGGTTTGCACTCCATCAGAACGTTACACGAAAGGACGTCTTGGAAAGGAATTCGTTGCAAAGCAGAGGAAAGTGTTTCTGCAGCATGTATTGGATCGTCTTTCTCCTGAAAGTGAATAGCGAGTGAATGAGCATGAGTGCTTGATGCCATCCCACAGACCATGAAGCGAAATTCAATTTCGCTTATTTTCCGAAGTTCTTCATGGAACCAGGCGACCACTCCACTACGTCGAAGCAACCCAATGTAGTTGAATACCAAGCTGATTACTTCCTCAACATGACTGAGACCATCTGAAAAGAAAAATGTGAGGGAGTACGATCAGTTCCAAAGTATCGCGTTTATTTATTTTTGGGAAGAAGCAGTAATGGTCGTTGAATGCCGACTTTTTAAAATTTGGGGCAAAGTTCGGTCGAAATTTTCTCTAGTGGAAGATTTAGCCAAATCCTTGTCCTCAGTGTCATTCTGACCCATAAGCATAAACGTGGCACCCAGCTGAAATCAAAAGGCCTGGCTCACTCCTTACGGGTACTGGCGCCACAACGTTGTGGAGCTGGCGGTTTTCGGACTATTTGAACTCGATCTTCTAAATCGTGGTAATTTTCTGTCTTCCTCTAACGCTCTCGTCTGCTCTGCATGACAATCCATGGTCACTGTACCCTCACACATTCTAACATTTTACGCATAATACATAGGTTGTTCACTTACCCCGGAGGCCCCTCCCGTGGCCATTTCCTGGCTTGCCACATGCTTTTGCTCCTTCTGATGCTTTGGCAGCCGTTGTCTTCTAGCTATGTGCAAACCCAAAAGTTGAAGCAGCCACAAAATCATGGCGCCGGCACGCCTAGCTGGCGTACCAGAAGTTTTCGCTCAAGCCAAACATGACATCCTTGTCGAGAGAGTCAAACTATCTCTTCAGCAAGCCCAGGGGTTTTAGAAGCGGATATGATTGTCTTCAAGAAAGCAGCTACTTCAAAAAGTGCATTACCTCCCTTGTCTACGCTCGAGGAAGATGTTCGACCAAATCTTGGCTTGGATTTCGATGGGAAGGGGACGAAAGAGTAAACAGTGTCAAAAACAGAATTTTCACGGAAATCGATTGCTTACCAGTGCTGAGGGTAATTTCGATTGAAAAGAGGCTGGTTCCTTTTGCGATAAATTCTCTATCAGCGGCCAAAGAAACCGCCCATTTTCGCCGCTTCAACACGGACAACAACGAACCTACTCCATCATAAATGAGCAGGCGTTCTGCAAAATGGCAATGAAGCAAACATCCACGATCATCCAACTTTCTACTTTACTTTCTCGACAAATTCTCACTTGTTTAGGAAGTAAACGCATGGCGATGGCAATTTCACCGCTCATCATGACCATTTTTCCATCTTAGAGGGAACGTCCGCGTTCAGTTGAGGTTTTCCTCTCCCTTCGTTAGCAGGTAGTCAGGTCCGCAGAGGTAACAACGGCACCACTTTCGCGGCGCAAAAACGTGCAAGGAGGCTCACGATACCGTCGTTCTTCTTAAAGACAGCTCCCGCGATAAAAGTGTCAAGGGTAATTGCTGATCAATTATGAAACAGTAGCTGATAAGTAATTCCTCAATGAAGGAAAAAAGAAACAAGAGCCCTCAAAACACCATAAACAAAATCGCGACCTGACAGTCACATCTCCCTGCGGTCTCTGTGCAAGCCCTGGCTCACAAATCACTTTGTCACATCTCCCAGTAGTGGATATCATCGAATGCGAAGAAAAGCAAACAAAAAACAACAGAAACATAGACGCAAAACTCTCGAAAAGAAAAGGAAACATTTAAAGAGCCGGCGTCCAAACTTAGGGTTACGGTAGCGAGCAAGTTTTAAAGTGAAGTGCGTCGAGCTTTTGCATCACAGAAATTGCATCATTTGTGATTTTTACGCGTTTTACCTCACGAGATGGTTGCTGTTGACTGTACGTGCTCCCTATAAATAAAATGTGATGAAGGAAAGCAGAATTATTTACGAGCACCAGCGCGGTCAGCAAAAAATACATGCGGTTCCGATTAATGACTGCCGTCCCAACAAGGTACAACTGAGCGGCTCTCCGTCAGAGGGCAGCTAGCTAGTGAGGCGGTCCAACTGAGCAGGTGTGGAACTAGCACTTTGAGCGCTTCTAGCTCGCTTCTCGCTCGCTGACGGAGTCGCGAGGTGAGGTAGTATCTAGCTTGGGGGCTGAACTACCTGTCCAAGGAAGGACGACCATGTACTACTTGAACGCGGGGGCTGTCTTTAATGGCCTAGCCTACAATCATTTTCACCGCCCTCCATTCATTTCTAATGGTTAGCTGATGGTGCGGTTGTTTCGCTGCTGCTTCTCTCCACGTCGAGTGGTGAGAGTGAGGTGATAAGGGAAAACAGCTGATATCAACAAGTGAGAACTCGTGCGACCACCCCTTCTCTTCACCTTAAGCACGTACAACCTCAATTAAGCAAGCAGTTCTATATAGAGCCTTTCCTATGATTTCTTTCTGGTTTTTCTTCACTAAGCGGTTAATTGCTACCTTGTTGTAAGTGTTTGAGCTGCATAATTCATCAAATTTGAATGCGGGCTCAGCCTTTAAGGGAACTTTTTGTGATTGACCGACGTGCAGAAGCCCTTGGTGATGCAAGATGGCGCGATCCTGGCATATCGCGGAGGATTTTGCCCAAAATGTGTTCAAGCGGAACGCCGCGGCTCTGCTCCCTGAGAGCTTCCCTTTAATTTAAGTCTCATGCGGAGTGAAGTACCATATAGACGGAAACATGCAATCGTTATAACTCTTCTCAAAAAGGAGCAGCATTCTAGTCCCAATAATTATAGGCCAGTTAGCTTGACTCCAATCTTTGCTAGGGTCTTTGGAAATCTATCAAAAAAAATGCTTGGTAGCTCACGCAGAGAAGTAGAATATTCTCTCCAACATTCTCACCAACTCACACCACGGATTCCCACTGCTAGATTGAAAGATTTGGCAAAAGTATAAGAACAGGACTTCCCTTCTATTATTTCTAATATGTTACCGCCCAACACAAGAGGAGCATCGATCAGATTAAATACTACTGTGGCGAAAACTGAAACCAGATCGAAGTGTTTCTGTAATAGAGTTTGCTCAGGTTTGAGTAACCTTTTACGGGCGAATATTTTTTCGCAGAGATATGTAACCTTCAAGGAAAGTTTTGATGTGTTTGTTTGATTCTTTGTCACTAACTTCATCAGAAATTGTAGTTCTCCTAATTTCTGCTGACATGTTCTAATACGTCTGCAGAATAAATAAATAACTAAATAAATATGAGCGGCTTAGTTAGCTAACAAATTCCGTTTCCATTATGAAGTGCGCTTGGGAATCCAGGCCAGCCCGGCGAAGCCGAAGCTAAAGAGAAGGAGGTGAGCTGGCGTAAGCCCGGATTGATTAACACATCACGCGGACACTTTCCGAAAGGCGAAGTTGCAGTGAAATAACTTACGGATGTATAACACAGGGTTCCACTTGTATTCATCCGTTAGGTCAGGAATCGGGAAGCACATGGTTAGCGTTTGAAGATCTTGGATGGGAACGATCTGTTAGAAATAAAAACGATCATCAAATCCGTTGTTTGAATGCCATATTACATCAGATTGCAGCATAGTTGCAATAATCAAATCTGTGGAAACACCAAACAGCAGCGCCCTCACCATTAGCGCACCCTCCACTACATTGTCAAGAACGAAAGGAGCACTTGAAGGCAGTTGGCAGATAAGACAGCGGGCTTCAGTATTACGACAATCTAGCGTTCTTGGTACGAAGGTCGATCACGCAGTGGGCCTCATCAACTGTCAAGCAGAGGACTATATTATAAGTGTACAATTATAATCTTCACTTATAACCTTTTCTCTCTTATCGGAGGGTATGGCGTGTGCTCCTTCTCTCTGTAATGTTTAGTGGAAATATTAAGTTTCAGCGAGTTTGTCATAGTGTAGCAGTTTGTGGTACACCTTATAGTGTAAATAAATAAATAAATAAATAAAAAATAAATAAGTTCCAAGACGTGTAAGACTAGTAGGCCCAGCAGTAGCAGTATTGAATTCGGCGCCTTTAAGCAAGCGGTGCGTAGCGACTTTTCCATGAGGGTAACTTTATAGCGCCCTATCAAGGTCACCCCGAAATCTACCCGGACGCCCACCCACCCCGCCCGCCAACAAATGTCCGACCGATGCTGATGTTCGTATCGCTTCATTTGTGAAGTACAATATGAGGCGAAGGGATTCAGAAGCGAGTGCGATGCTGCGTGGATTTATAGGCATAAATGCAGCCGTATCTACCGTAGCTGTTATTGACACGATGCCAGAAGCAACTCGTCGAAAACTGCTTGCTGAGCCGTGTAGAGAGGCTTTTTGCGGGTTCCTGACCATTTCCCTTCGCTTTCTCGCCAATTTCCCCACCATATATTAGGTTGTCCGGAAAGTTCTCAGCGTTTTGTGTTATTTTTTGTACATTCATTGCTGATTAAAAACTCATTCTCTCTTGCGTCTCAATAGCACATCCTGAAGAGAATTCTTTGCGCTAGAATTCTTTGCGCTATCTGATGGTATAATTGCCGTTTCACCATTGCTTGATAAACTCCCTTTTCCTAATTTTTTTCAAAGCATGTCAAAAGAGCAACTTCGGACGATATTTTTCTTCAACTACAAATTGGGTCAATCCGCAGTCGAGACAGCTTACAAATTAACCAGGTGTGGGGCCCAATAGTGTTAGAGAAAGCACCGTGCAGCAATGGTTCGGCTAATTTCGTTCTGGAGATTTCAGCCTTGAAGATGAACCTCGTAGCGGTCAACCTGAAGCAATACCTGACGAGGATTAGATTTGTGGAGGCTGACCCATCCCAAACAGTTCGAATGATTGCGGAAAAGCTAGCCATAGGCAAATCTACTGTTGCGGATGGTCTGAAATGCATTGGGAAGGTGAAAAAATTCGACAAGTGGATGCCCCACAATTTGTGTGACCTGCAGAGATTGGCACGTCTCGAGGTTTCTTATTCACTGCTTTTGCGCAACAAAAACGACCCGTTTTTGGACGGAATTGTCACCTGTGATGAAAAGTGGATCATGATGATAGCAGGAGACGCTCCGGACTGTAGTTGGATGCCGACGAACCACCGAGACACTTTCCAAAGCCGGACCCTCGCCAAAAAAAGGGTTATGGTCATAGTGTGGTGGTCATCGGCTGGCGTGGTCCACTATAACTTATGTCACGGGGCGAACCATCACAGCAGGGTCCTACCGTGAAGAAATCGACGAAAAGTGCCGAAAATTGCGTCAGCTTCAGCCAGTACTTGTCAACAGAAAGGCTCCGACTCTTTTGTATGACAACGCCCGCCCACACGTTTCACAAATCACTATCCATAAATTGAAAGAATTGGGGGTTGAAGATCTACCTCACTCGCCATATTCTCCAGAACTTTCACCAACCGACTATCACCTTTTCAAACATTTTCAGAACTTTCCTGTTGGAAAATACTTCATCAATCAGGATCAGGCAAAAGAGGATTCGTGGATTACGTGAATTTTCGACCACCCAGTTTTTTCCTTTATGGGATTTTTCGACCGGTGTCACATTGGCAAAGTGTGCTGATTCGAGAGGTGCTTATTTCGACTGAATCCGATGAGTTTTAAAAAGTTAATGATCCTTTAAAGTGAAACACTCAAAACGCTGAGAACTTTCCGGACAACAGCACCCCTGCAGAGTATCTTATTAAGTGCCACCTGCTTTCGAGACTGAAGAGTGATGGATGGGTTCCTCCCACCATTACTCTACACATACGATCAGCACGAACTGTACCTCCGAATGTGATTTTTGCCACTAATTTACCCGCTTGTGTACGTAACATGTATATTGACTGCCTCGTAAAATCGTGTTGTGGTAAACAAATCTACAATAGAAAAAAAAGAATGAATAGTAGAAACTGAAATATATGAAGAGTAGAAAATGAAATATGGGCGCTGCTCGGTTCAATGACGGTATTGAATGGTACTAGCTGATTTTGTACAAGTCACCTTATAAGGACCAGAAAGTAAGTGACTAATGTCGCTCACTCGAACAGTTTCGCAGCCTCACAGTAGTTTACTGGTCCCTTTCCGGTGAGACTCATTGGATAACATAAACCAACCAAAGGAACTGACGAAAGCGCAAAATGCCCCTCCCAGCCACACAGCGTCCGAGTGCTTTATTTATCACTAAAGGACTGCAGCAAGTGGTAATACGGCGACATGCTAGAAAAGTCTCGCATATAAACAATAGGAATGAAGTTTGTTCGAGTTTGCTCACCTCAATACGTTTACGCAGTTGCTCCTTGCCGTATGGACTTTCCAACCACTCTTTCCGTTCCACACCCTTGTTTGGAATCGCTCCAAAGTCCAAATCTCCCAAGGTCGACTCCATGGCGTCCAGTGGTTTCGAGTCAACAATACATAACGACATACTGAAAAGAGAAAAGATGATGAAAGCTAAAGATAAGACCAAATTTCCTAAATGAAGAATAAAGGATTAAATTATGCATGTCATGTGTTCATGTGGGCGGAGTAAGACCCACCATTGAGCTTTGGTCAGTGTTGCCCCCTTCAAGAGAGTGAAGAGGAAGTGCTCGCCGAAGGGGAAATGCAGTGCTAGCCCTCCGCCCATATCACCACCATGGAACATGTCTTCATTTTTATTTATTCTGTATTTCATAGTTCAGCGTAAAACACCCACATGTTGGAGCTGTACCACTGCTTGTGAAATTTAAGTAAGGCGTCATGAGGGTTCACTCCCTTCTTCTGCGGATCGTCCAGTAGTGTTTTCTAGAAGGTAAGATAGAAAAAAACGCTTCTATTTATCATGATTATTTTGTTGACCAACCTTATTGCCTATAGTAAATTTTCCACAATCGTGTCCTGGCTTCGAAAGATATCTAAAAGGAACTATTGTATTAGAAGAAAGGCAGTTAAATTCCACGCTGATCGTACAGTTGAACCGGCCTGACCACTGTATGTGACTAGTTGTGAGAAGGACCATTCCAATGAAGCAAGCACAGTAGTTCGCTGAGCCCTTCGATTACGACCGGCGTGGACTGAACCTTTAACGGTAAAGCGGTAAAATAATGGATATCTAGTGCTATCAGCACCAGATAACGGTCCTTCCAGGAGACGTCTCATTAATGTTCTACAGAAACATCTCGTCCAATCCGGGAAAGTTTTCCACCAGATATCCACTAACTTGAGCTCCTACATGACTTACCGCTTTACTTCACCTACTCGAAAATCGTCGGTATTGAGATGTTGCGAGTATTCCGAGTCAACAGCTCTAACCTAAATGTAAGTGTTGTAAGTGTTCAGAAAAGTAGGTCACACGCCGCATTTACACTTCTACCCTGGCCGAGATAGATACGTGTCCTCTTGTTGAGTCGATACCGTGCCAGCTCACTACTCAGTCATCAACAATCTGCACGAAAATTTGTTAACGAATCCACCAGCATCAGCTTAAATCACAGTTGCTGGATCAGGGTACAGCACCGTGATACGTGAAATGGCGGTGCATGACTACTGCTCTCCGCACCCACCACCCCCTCTCATGCAAAAGTTCATCATATGCTACGACTTCCCTTCCCTGTCTTACGTACTATCTTTCTGAGTTTTCCCAAACACCAGCAATGGTAGTTGTACGGTAGTTCGAATATGACCCCCCCATTGTCAGCGACTAAGTAGGGCCCAACCCCCCTGTCCTCTTGGGATCTCTCAACGACGCTCGTGAATTATTCCACCGACTATAGATGCAGAAGCGTTTTCGGGTAACAAATACTTCTTTGAAACTCATACCTCTCTTTCGGTTGCACTTTCGGTGAATTTCGGAGCCACGAAGAGCCTGGCGGCAATAGCGGTCGAGAGCTCCCTGAAAGGACAAAATAGGCAGTCGTCTTTAGGGCTGCATCCTCCAAGGCACACTTTACGACCAGAGAGTAGTATAATCTCGGTAAGCAGGTAATCTATGTCCACAACCAGCATGGGTGTGCTCTGTTGGCGACGCGAGGGTGCGACTTACAGCCTGTCACTTGGGCTCTTGAGGTTCATGTCAACGTGCTGAAAAAGGTGCCGGCAGTACAATACATGCCTGCTCGCCGATCGTTTGGGCAGCGTTCAGACTTCGCCACGGCAGCGAAATGTGCCTTTGATTTCAATCACAGCAGTGATTTTTGCAAATGACAGGGCGTGTGAAGGGGCGCGAATCGGAGCGTATACAGTCTCTCACCTAATTGTTGCACACTCTGGATGAGATGATTATTCGGCAGAAGCGGCTTGGAAGCCCACTACGCCCCCGCACACTCTATCGTCGTTTACAGGGATTGAACTAGATTACGGATGTGCCTTTGAGGCTTTCTGTAGCGCGCTTAGGTGCAGTGGGCGCAGGTCCATGCTCATCTAAGCACTAAGCTTCTTCTACTTTCAAAGCGAAAAGTAACAAAGTGTGCTGATCATGTGCGACAAGCGAACGAAGTTGAAACTGTTTCTAATTGATTTGTGCTGTGTTCCAGTCACAGAACCGCTTAATAGGACTAGTTTCTGCAGGAAAATCCAAGGAATCAAGCGAATCGCCCACCTTCAATTCGTCCGGCTTCATTTCAAAATGGTAATTTGTTTGATCGGAGCCTGTTCCAGCGTTCTGGTGTCCACCGTTCTCGGCAATAAACTCAAACGTTCAAAAATTAGAGCATTGAGAATGTTTCTATAAAATTGCTGCAGAATCTTAAGCAACTTTCTCGTCAAAGATTTGACTTGTGGGGATATTCAGGGTCTGATCACGAATGAGATCAGCTGCCAATTCGGCTTTCGGCGTTGCTATTCCTGAGTTCACAACTTTCGCATGCATGCTTAGCGCCAGTCGCCATTTGGCACGAACATGGAGCTGGCGCAAGGAAATTCCACCGCATCACCTTCTTTTTCAAAACTGATGTATGCATGCAAACTAGGGTCATTATGATTAGAAATACAACATTAATCTTACCGCAGCAGCACGGCACTCCATCATCATCGCTCCGTTAAAGCTGAATCGGGGAGGAAAAGTGATCTGCGACCACTGGGCACTCTTCTAGCGAGGCATAAGCACAGAAAGTGATCTCATTCAGTGCGGTGCAGGAAATGAGCGTCACATTCGTGAGAAGAATGCCAAATAACCTAGTATGATGCTTTGTTCATTTGGTGAGATGGTGGCGCCAAACTAAGCCCTATTGCCTGCTGTTGGCGCGTGGTGAAAATGAAAGCTACAACCGTAATGTTGTGAAGTTGTCATACTATGCGAGCTCATACCAGTTTTGATGAAAAAGGTGGTGGGGCCACATTTACATCAGTTTGGTGAAAACATCGCCAAACTGACACCTGTTGGTATGGCACCTTCTTTAAAAACGTGTTTTACAATCGTAATCAATCCATCAAGTTACCAGTATGCAATTCACCACAATTTCGGTGAAAGAAAGCTTTCGCAAGAATGCTGAGTTATGGGCAAAAGTCGGACCACAGCCGGGCCAGTTCGAACCCGCATCTTCTGCTTTCCGTGCAGCTGCGTTCCCTATTACGCAACCGAGGGCACTTTTGACTCCCACTCAGCTCAACGGCTATTTGTGCCATAACCATTAAGCACCCACAATTTCAACGTGTGAAGGTAATGACACAAATACCCATTGAGCTGAGTGGTCAAAAGTGGCCACGGTAGCGTAATAGAGAACGCAGGTGCACGGAAAGCAGAAGATGCGGGTTGGAATCCCGTCCCTGGTCCGACTTTTCCCCATAACTCAGCATTCTTGTGAAAGCTTTCGGACCGCGCATTGCGGCGTTACAGCAGTTACCAAATAATAACAGGGTGAAAGAAAGGTTTTAGGCCAACTTCCACCGGTACCATTCTGACATCGAATGCCTCGGTACCACTAGCAAAACCCCGATATGCCAGTTTGCATTAATTTTAATTGAAATACTAATAGGCCACGATTTGGCGTCAAATGGCGTCGACGCCGAGAATAAGCGTTATGTCCGTGATCTGAACACTGGCTGACCCCATGAGAAAACAATGAGGTTGAGATTTTCGATAACAGAACAGTGCTTATAGTTTCTACCCGGTCCAACCTTATTGATATACATGACTTACTCTGTCAAAGTCGTTTTCCTTGGGATATTTTTCAGTACCAAGAAACAGCATGTGCTCGCAGAAGTGCGCCAGCCCTTGGAACTCCCATGGATCCATGAGAGATCCTGGATTAGACAACTACAGAATACTTATGCCATCCAAAGAAATTTAAAGTTTGAAAGCACTCCTTCAATATCAAAAATTAGTGCAAAATTGTTCCATCAAACGCTAGGCAATAGTGGCGCACCGACATTAACATCCATTGCAGCGGCAGCTTTATGTGTAGTAGGATCCGATACCAGTAGTACCCGAAGGCCATTCGTAAGTTCGAGTCCTCGATACTGCAATAGAGGGAGTTGTTCTTTTCAGACCAAAATCACGCTGAAAATTACAGTTGAAGAGGCACTCCACGCGGATTGAATAAGCGGAGTCGCGCCTACCCTCACAGATTCTTCATTGGCGCTCCCGCTACTCAACAGCCGTACGAGGCAAGAGCACGCAAATGAGAAAGGTTCTTAAATGTAATTGACCTAATTCGTTTGATCAGTGTGATCTGAGCTTCGGAATGGATAAGGGGTAAAGAGGTCGATGGTGGTACACAAGAAAAGCAAGCCAAATTTCGAGTCAGCGCCCTTATCTCTTTCAACTCCCTCCTTCATCGCTTTGATTCCAGTTCCAGCCCAAGGAAAAACACAACGCTTATTCGGCCTTATAAGAACTCGAAGCATGGCTCGGTATGTGAGAGGAATCCTTTCTACAGCAAGGATACAGCATCGGGACGGGTAGAATGGTGCTAGTACCGCCCCCCCCCCCTCCCCTATGGGATAGCAGCCCTTGATGCGGATTCGTTCTACCTTGCAGACGGACCTGATATCAAACTTATGATCTAGGCGATACTGGAGTTGATCTTAAAGCCACGCTACATCTCTTATGGCGATCGGGTGGATCTACCACCGGGTTCACAGATAGAGTCACCGCAGTTCCTGAATCTATAAAAATCTGAATGAGAAAAAGATGAACCTCTCTTCGATCTGACGGGCTCTTGATGATATTATCGTACCTACGGGAGACAATGTTTTGTGCTACCATCTGGAACGAACAAAATGAGTCTGCTTTACAGATTTTAGCCGTCTCACGAAATCACTATAAAGCTAGGCGACGCAGTAGAAGAAAGACGGGCTTTATACTTCAATGCTAGGGTTAACTTATAAGGCAAAAGACCGTGCTAAATCTTTCTATTATGTCGCTGTAAGGTGGCACTCTGGGCTTCAAAAAATGGGGAGTTGTGGCAGCTCATATACTAATGATGGCGAGAAACACAATAGCAGAAAAAAATCTAGAAAAGACAGCCCATATGAACCCAGACCAATGTCCCACAATGCCCCGTATAGGACCCTATCTGAATATGCCTTCTAAAGTTGCAGAACCTCATAATGGGATATAGTCCGGACGCGTTCTTTTTTGTTGGTGTCAGCTGCTTTCTTGCTTATACACCCCATACTTACCATCTAATTGGAGTGAAGTTACGCCGCGCGAGATAGGGCGTAAACATCAGAAAAGCAGGCGAAGGAATGGAAGAGCCTTCAAAAAGAAAGATTGGCGTCGCCATGTGACAGTGGGCGGGTCGTGAACCTTCGTCGCCAGCGGTTGCTTTGCGTCACATAATTTTGACGCTACGAAAGTCGTACGTATCTAGCCCCTACAGGCAAGCAGCAAATTGACCAAAGAGAGGCGCCTGGACATCAAATGAAAACGGAGCCTGCTTCAAAGTCATAGCGCACTGCTTATCTTATTATTAGGGAAGGTCGTTGAATTGGAAAATTACCACCTGGTCAGATGCCGATAGAATCTATCAGTCATACGCTGAATAAATCATCCGTGAAAAGTGCACAAAGTATTCTCAAAAAATTTTTTCTGGGCATCGGCAGGAGGGAAATTTCTGGACGAATACTATACTTCGCGAAAATGCTTCCCAACGGCACGCCGTTGCAGTGAATTTGTTAACAACATCGCTTCTTCGCGCTTCAGAGTCCTCAAATTTCCAGTTTAACACATTTCACGGATATTGAAAAAGGATTTCTCGAAGTACTGGGGCGTTTTACAGCCTACTAGGTAGTAGAAGCCAAGTCCGTCTGAAGGGAGCAGTTCGGTTCGGTGTGGGCACCTCAATGGTAGGCTGAACGCAACTGATTTGTATCGAAAAGGTTATGTAATGCTCATTGCGGAGCTTCACAAGATTGTTCAAGAAAGACACCAGCTGGATACTTCTAGAAATGAACTAGGAAAAAGCAGATAACGGGAGCACCTTCCGCCCCACCCGCTACTTTGTCTCCGCCAAGCCTAACAAAACAATCGCTGAGGGAAGCCTCCTCTCCATTCCTCCATAGAAGTTACTTGTTTCTCTATAAGAAAGAGGCAGGAACCGGGAGTAGAAAGGATATTTTCGGTAGCCAAAAACCTTAAGGGCAATGGCTGAAGAGTTTGAGACTATTAGGAGAAAAAGTTTGCAATTAGAGATGAAACTGTTCGCCCATGTATTGTCCTTTTGCATTTGACAAACTGAAAACAAATACGGGCAGCAAACGTTGTTTGGTGGAAACTTGGAACGAAAAAATGTAGGCAAACTTATCAATCGGATATTTCTAAGTAATAGTGTTTTGAGCCCCGGAAATTCCCTCTTCAAATTCGAAAGCGCGTCCTGATTTTGAACAAAAGGAAGAACTGGCATCCTGTTGTTCGCTTATGATTGTTTAAAGTTAGAACGGAATCTACCATGATCTCCTTACCGCCTCACTTCCACCATCGAAGATGGGCAGACAGCCCAGTTTAGCAGAAGAACCGCGTCGCAGACACTTCGTTACAGGATGGGCCTAGCGAGCGTGGCCAGGGGCGGAGGCCAGTGCCATAGCCGCAAACACAACAGGGGGCGCTCAAGTCCAGGTATAATTCCTAGCTGCAAAAAGTATTACATTTCCGCATTGGTAAGCGACCCAGGTCTATCCGTGTCCGAAGAAGGCGCCAAGAACACTTCAATGAAGCGGGAGCTTAGCCGTTGAGGGCACATTATAAGGATTCCTCTGTGGAAAGACTGGAATCACCGATCATGAAGGACGTTTGCTATTCTCTAAAATGCACTTTACTTCCTTCACTACTCCTGGTCCATCTGGTTCTCATTCTTCATTACGGCCATTCAGTTTCTGCACGGTGTAGCACTTCAAATATGCCCGTGAATCTGCAAGCGGCACTTTTTTTGTTAGCGTTTTGCTCTTGACTAAGCACTTACTGCTGGATTCTTCGTTCTACAAAGTGTCAAAAAAAAACACTTGGATTCAATAAGACCACGCTTTAGCTGTTAGTTTAGGGTGTTAATCCGTTGACTTCTGTAATTGACAAGAACGGCCGTGACATCGATAGCTCATTATGGCTCATCCTATGCGAAAATGTAAGGGCAGAACACTGGGGGCAACTATTATCAGCTTCTACTCATCTTCCGTCTATCGGCGGTTTCTGAACATTCATTTCTAAGCCCCTAGTTCTACGGCTGCAAGGCAACGTCCTAGGTCGGGTGTTGTCCAGCAAGGAGCCGTCTTCAGTTGATTCGGCTGTAGGAGAAGCAGGGCAACCACTTCTCAGCGCGTTCAGGAAGCTGGAGGGAGTGGGAGCGGGATGAGAACTACAACTTTCGTTGCTTCCCATCGACGTGTCGATGGGAGACAACGAAAACCTATATCAACCTATGATATTTAGCCAACGAACCTATATCTATGACAGCCTCTTCCGACGTTGACAGGTTTTTCACCGATGGCCTTAACGAGCTTGCTCCAGCTTCACGAGAATTGACAAGTCTCAACCATATGAGACCTGTAAACCGAAACAGCTGAAGCAACTTCTTCTTCTTCTTCTTCTTCAGCGTTTCTCCTGCACTGTAGCGGTGTCCGCTTGTCTTATTTTGTCACGCCACTCCTCCCGATTAAATGCTTGATCGGGATGGGTGCTAACCACCTTCAAGTCCGCATGCAACGTGTCTGACCAGCGCTGCTCTGGGCGTCCTTTAGGCAGCTTCCCGGGAACTTCGAGCTCAGGGCCAATCTTACGGACAGTGTCACAATTCGCACGAAGAACATGACCGTACCCTCGAAGGCGAGGTTCGCGCATTTTCTCGGCACAGGAGCAATACCGAAACTGTTCCTTATGTCGTCATTGCGTCATGCATCCATACGCGTGACACCGGCTGCCCATCGAAACATTTTCATCTCCATGACTCCTAGGCGCGCTTCAACTCCTCTGGTCGTAGGCCAACATTCAGCGCCATATATCGCGACTGGTCGAACGACAGTCCTGCAGACCTTCGATTTGAAGCGATGTGGTATTGTCTTGTCGCAGAGAACGTCAGTCATAGCTCGCCATTTGGACCAGGCTGCACTCACACGTGCGCTCGCTTCTGAGTCGAGACTGCCGTCAGACGTAATTGTTGATCCGAGGTATTTGAACGCTGTAGTTCGCGTGAGCACACTGCGCTGACCTTAAGGGAACCAAACTCGTCCGGGTCAGTCGTCAGGTACTCGGTTTTCTTGACGTTCAATCTAAGCCCGAAGTTTGCTAACCGTTCAGTCCAAGCTTGCACTTATTCTGAAGACAATTTTTATTCTCGCACGCGAGCATCCCATAGTCAGCGTAGAGAATCGTCCAAGGAGCCGGCTTTTGGAGGTTCCGTGAGATGGCGTTCATGACGACAATGAAGAGCAGCGGGGAAAGCGCTGAGCCTTGATGCACCCCAACTGCGAGGGGGAACCCCGTCGAAATGCCTGATGGACTCCGCACTCGACTTGTCGGGCTGAAGTGCAGGATGCGTACCCATTCAATCAGCTCTACGGGAACGCCGTGCTGCCGTAAGGCATACCATATAACTTCACGTGGGACACGGCCGAATGCCTTCTCTAGATCAAGGAAGGCTAGGTGGACATGCTTCTTCTTCTCACGATGTTTCTCCAGCTAGAGGCGAGCGGCATGTATGGCATCGATGGTGCTACAGCCAGTCACGAAGCCACACTGGCTGGTAGAGAGCTGGACGATATCACGAAGACGCTTATCAATAATTCGCTCAAAAAGTTTCATGCTGTGCGAGAGCAAGCGAATTGGGCGATAATTTGAGCAGTCTGCAGGATTCTTTTTTCTTCTAGATCGGTCGTTGTGCTCTCGTGCCATACTTCGGGCATTTTCTTCTCTGCAACGACCTGATTGAAAAACATTGTCAACCATTCGG